CTCATCTGTGTGAAAACCGCTGGTAGAAATCGATGTGACCTCTGCTAGGCTGTCATCCCAGTCTCCACCCTCCGTCTCCTATTTGTCTTTTGGTGGGGAGTTTAGATCTGGATGCTGTCTCCCTGTGTCTCTCTTGGGCCAGATTATCAAAATGAATCATTGCCTGCATAGCTCTTATATTTCTATTTATTTTCCTGCTGTTGACTAGCTCGGGTGAAATATGATTTCTTTTTGCATTTGATCCTCACTGCAGCCAGCAGCACCTAATTTAGCCGTGTCTATCTCTTTAAAGAAGACTAATGCCATTTTGAAACTTCAATCTACTCTACAGCAACATTACTAACCATAGACGGTGTGCCCTGTCTCTGCAGTCAATATGAATTTTCCTTTTGGCCATTTTAATAGCATTACTTTCCCCCACCCTCCCATGCCCCCCCTTCCCAAGCAGTTGAGGTTTCTAGATTGTTTTAAGCAGTTTATCCACAATTCATTCATTGCGCCCGCTCGCTTGCTCTCCCCCTCGTCTTTCCCTCCACCTCTCCAAGATGCATTTAGTTTACCTTGCTTCACAGAGGAGTGGTTTTGGGCATAAACAATTAATTTTAATGACTTGACCCTGCATATGAATTATTTGAGCATGAGAAATGGTATGTAGTCTTTGACTTGGGAAGAACTTGTTTTAAGTGTGTAACCAGAGGATAGGGTTGGGGGGAATAGCAGAAAGATTGATCATACCTTCTCATAAAATATTAACCAAACTGATGTGCTGAGAAGACAGAATCTTATTAGAAACTCTGAGAAATAATCAGATAATAGTGATAATGACAGTGGTAGTAGTAGTAATAATAATGGCATGCATAAGAAATGGAAGAAATGGGAAATCACAAAGCAAGAATAGAACACAAGTAGCCAACAGTTACGGGGAGAAGGTCAGGCAGGCCAAAGCTCAGAATGAGCTCAGGCTTGCAAGAGAGGTTAAAAATAACAATAAAAGGTTTCTTTGGCTATGTTTGAAGCAAGAGGAAGAGCAAGCAAGTGGTAGGTGCTTTGTGTGGAGAAGATATAGAAATGCTATTGGGTGACCAAGAGAAGGCGGAACTGTTCAACACCTACTTTGCCTCTGTTTTCACCAAAAAAGAAAGCAATGCCCAGCCTGGTGATAACAGAATAAATATTGTAAGGAGGGTGTTGCAGCCCAAGATAGGAAAAGAGGTGGTGAGGGAATACCTAGCTACTTTCAATGAATTCAAACCTCCAGGGCCTGATGAGTTGCATCCAAGGGTACTAAAGGAGCTTGCAGATGTAATCTCAGAGCCTCTTTCTATAATCTTTGAGAATTCTTGGAGAAAAGCTGAGGCCCCTGTGGATTGGAGGCAGGCAAACATCGTCCTCACTTTCAGAAATGGGAGAAAAGACCCAGATAACTACAAACCAGTCAGCTTGATGTTGATACCAAGAAAGGTGCTAGAACAGATAATTAAACAGTCAGTCTGTGAGCACTTAGAAAAGGATGCTGTGATTACTAAGACCCTGAAGGGGTTTCTTAAAAACAAGTCATGCCAAATGAATCTCTTTTATATAGAGAGTTACAAGCTTCATGGATCGGGGGAATGTTGTAAACATAGTGTATCTTGATTTCAGTAAGACTTTTGACAGCGTTCCCTGTTATATTCTTGTGGAGAAGCTGGGAAAAAGTGGGCTAGGCACGGTAACAGTTGGGTGGATTTGTAGCTGTTTGACTGATTGTACCCAAAGAGTGCTTACTAATGGTGCCTCATCATCCTGGAAAAAGGACAAGTGGGGTGCCACCGGCTTCTTTTGTTCAATGTCTTTATAAACAACATGGATGAAGGAATAGTGGGGATGTTCATCCAGTTTTACAGATGACACCAAACTAGAATGGGTAGCTAATACTGCAGAAGACAGAATTGGGATTCAGGATGACTTGAACAGATTAGAGAACTGGATCAAAACTAACAAAATTAATTTCAATAGGGACAGATGTTTTGCTCTATACTTAGGCAGGTAGAACCAGCTACACAAATATATGATGGTGGACATATTGGGTTGCCAGTAGCACATGTGAAAAGGATTTAGGGGTCTTAGCTAACCACAAGCTTAACATGAGTCAACAGTGTGATGCAGCAGCAAAAACAACTGTTATTCTAGGCTGCATCAACAGAAGTATAGTTGGGAAGTCATAGTACTGTTGTATTCTGCCTTAGTCAGACCCTGCCTGGAGAACTGAGTCCCATTCTGGGTGCCACAATTTAAGAAGGATATTGACAAGCTGGAACGTGTGCCTAGAAAAGAGGAGACTAAGAGGAGATATGAGAGCTGAAGAAGAAGAAGAAGAGTTTGGATTTGATATCCCGCCTTTCACTCCCTTTAAGGAGTCTCAAAGCGGCTAACATTCTCCTTTCCCTTCCTCCCCCACAACAAACACTCTGTGAGGTGAGTGGGGCGGAGAGACTTCAAAGAAGTGTGACTGGCCCAAGGTCACCCAGCAGCTGCATGTGGAGGAGCGGAGACGCGAACCCGGTTCCCCAGATAACGAGACTACCGCTCTTAACCACTACACCATACTGGCTCTCCAAGTATTTCAAGAGCTGTCATATGGAAGATGGAGCAAGCTTGTTTCTTCCTTCTCCAGAGGGTAGGACCCAATGCCTTGAAGTTACAAGAAAAGAGATTCTGACTTAACATCAGGAGGAGCTTTTTGACAGGAAGAGCTGTTTGACAATCAAAGGTGGTGGGCTCTCCTTCATTGGAGGTTTTTAAGCAGAGGTTGGATGGTCATCTCTCATGGCTGCTTTAGCTGAGATTCCTGCATTTTAGGGGGTTGGACTAGATGACCCCCTCAGGGTCCCGTCCAGCTCTACAATTCTGTGATTCTATAAACTTCACTCCTAAAATCTGTGCACCCTGCCTCAGATCCTGGAGAATCATTGCTAGAATTTGTTGCTGTTGTTGTTAGTGTAGCACTTAATGCCGAAATAGGCTTCTAACTGGTTTACATGAATAAAAACAAATTACACAAACATTAAAATACAGAGATACATAATTAAAATGCATACTGAGCGATCCTATTAATCCATTAAAATATAACATCTAGAATTAAAATATAAAATAAAGCAATCCTATAAATATAAAATATTTATGTACGTGGATGCATGAATCAGTGGCCTGACTTCACATGGCTGTATGGCACCTTCATACAGGATACAGAGCTGTCCACCCGTTACTAATTTCTGAACTTGCACAGTGTGGTTACAGAATACACACAGCCCCAAATTACCATTGTTACATGATCACTGAGTATCGCAAAGGGGATTAAAAAGAATTAAGCATTGAATTCATCCATCCATCAAAAAGGGCGATGGAGCAAAAATCAGATTTCTTTTAATCCTTTTTAAATCAGCAAGAGTGAAACAATATGACCGAGAAGCAAAAATGACTCTCAACGCGGTGAAGATTGTGCACAGTCTTTGTTTTATGTAAAATCCAGCAGTTTTGACTGTATTTTAAACATTACATGATTATAGTTAGTATTATACCTGTTGTTAGAACCAAATTACTTCTCATTACTCCATTCTGTTTTTTGCTTTGTTTATTTAGGACAAAGAAGTCTCCGAGTTAAAAAAAAAATGTTATCTCATTTCTTTCCTTTAATTGTTCCTTTCTGGAACTGCAAGATGACCTCATTTGATTTGATTTTGATTGTATTTCTATGCAATTTCTAAAATAATTAGCAAATTATCAGTAAACAATTACAATGTATAAAACAATCTAAATATCACAATTACAGCGAAGGTCATATTGTATAATAGATATATTACATAACGTTATATATCATAGTATGCAACAAATATTTATAATCTGTAAAACAATGTTAACAACAAAATAGCAGCTAAGTAAAAAAGGTAAACACTGTTAAGTTCACAAAGTCTCTCTCCACTCTTCCATAACTCCTAATATTTTACTCCATTCAGTTCATTAAAATACACATGACGCCCATTGCTAAACCAGCTTAGACAAATGCTGCACTGGCTGAAGTCCTCAGTCCTCAGGCCATGGTGGAGACTGTGAGGCTCTTGGGCCTATTGCCAATGGTAAGGTGAATATTGGCTCCGAGTAGCCCACCCAGGTGCTATCGATGAAGAACTCATCCCTGTGGCCCTTGATAATAATGAGATCCATTCCCACCTGAGTGGGAAGTCCAAGATGATCCTGTCCCTCCAGAGCAACTTTGGTTAAGGGGCAGTTGTCTGATGGGGCCCCCTTTCCATCAGTGATTCTTCATAGGTGTGGATAGGTAGCTAAGGCCCAACTTCCATGCTCCACTACTGTAAGTGCAGAGCCTAACATTTCTCCCTGTTTATTTTTTTCCAGAAAGCCAAAATTTTAATAAGGATTATAATTTATCTGGGGAAAAAATCATTGTAAACAGTTAAAATCGTTAGTAAGAGTGGACTAGCACTTGGTGAATTTTGGATTATAATGGAGATGTAAAAGATTTGGACTATTATAAAAGGGAAGAAATGGCTAACAATAGGACCCACAAAGGGGAGGAGGGAAGTTCAGGGGATTCTTTGGAATCTCGTTTTTATGATGTATGTTGGATATGCGATTGTAAAATCTTAATTTGGAAAACCAAATAATTTTTTTTAAAAGAAGAAGGGCAAAAGCAGCATCAAAGACAAGAACAAGGCCACAGATTCATCAATCGGTTCTCAGAAAATTTCTTCATGCTTCTTAAAACAACCCTTCATTGCAGGGGCTTGGACTAGAACATTTCTCCCTATTGAAAGTCATTTTGTTAGTTTTGTGAGTCTGTTAAGGTAATCTTAAATCCTAATTCTGTCTTCTGTGGAATGAGCTAGCTACCCCTCCCAGTTTGGGAGCATCCCCTCAATTCTTTCACCCAGGTCATTTTTAAAGATGTTGCCTCAGTTGCTCCCCAAGTAATAATCTGTTCCTTCTCTGTCGTGTCTTTACAGAAGAGATGCAGATTGGCATCCCAATAATGGCACCAGCCCTAGAGAAGATCCAACTGGCTGGGCAGAGTGTTCCTCCTGGTTTCCGTGCACCTTTTCTTTTTGCAGATGGATTGTCCTCCGTAGAAACTTTATTAACCAACATACAGGTAAAATGCCGCAGTGATTATTCCACATCCCACCCTGCATTGAGATGACAGAGACTTAAAATCAAATTATATTGGTATCAAATATTAACAGAAATAAGATAAATTATTGGTTATAAATTATCAAGAGTTCCTCTAGTCTGTCTGATTATCTTAAAGAAGTGGTGTCCCCAAAAGACAACTGACAACAGCTGCCCAGATGACTACACGGTATGATGACTATATGTCAAGTTCAGAAAAAGTCAAAAACCCTCCTGAATTGGCAGTTTGGATAATGGAAACTGGGGAACAAGTATACATGTAAAAAGAACAAATGTAATCAGAGCCAGGGAAGGGAGGCAAACAAGATAAAACGTTCTCAGAGAAACTGAGTTTATTTTGTATTGGAATAATAATACACAGGCTGTAGTAAACCCATATGCCTTATTATATGAAAGATGTGCTCGTGTATAGGAAGTCAGATATGTGGGAAGGATAAATCTCTATTATCTATAATATAGTCGGGATTTGGGAACTTTGTTTTATGGTGGGAACTTTGGATTCAGTTTCAGTCAACTATTTGTTAATTTCAGAATCTCATTTTTTTAAATGGATAGTGATTTTAACGTGAATTGTGAAAAGTAGAAAGTTTGTGTGTGATATTATATTGTATTACAAATGTTATATGCTTGCAAGCACTTCAACCTAACTTTTTACCTTTTGCTTTTTGTCATTTGTTTTCTTAGCTGTCTTGAGGATCTTATAGTCAAAAAGCTTGATGGAAATCATTTAAATAAATCAACTAACAAATACTTCTTCTCCTTAGAATGCATATCCTGGATTATTTATGGATCATCTGCCAACGTCCACTTATCCTTCATTCATCAATAGATTTTAGCAATGAGACTTCAGCTGATACATGCAATTCTACTATATTTGAATGCCCCCAACCCATGGAGCTCTTACACGCAAGGGACTTCAGGCACACATGAGTATCGCCACCTTCAAAATCTTCCACAAGTATTTCAGACTGAGAACTCTAAACAATGTATGCAAGTTCTGAAATAAATGAGGAAGCCCCTAAATTGGAAAAAGACTGATGCATGAGGATGAGAGGGAACATGATTAAGCCATTGCTGCTAAATCTTCTCCCACAAAAACCATTTGGCCCTAAAATATATTTATTTTTCCAGTAACACAAATCTTTGGGTGAATCCAGTATTTGCTGAAATTTGGAGAATTTGTGCTAAGATAATAGTGGGAATCTGTGTTAGTTAATGGTGCAGCCTTTCTAAGCCTGGAACCCTTCATATGCTTTGGAATACGGCTTCCATCAACTTGAGCTAGCATGGTCAATGGTCAGGAAAGATTTGATTTTCAGACCAAAGCATATTGAGGGCACCAGATTGAGAAAGACTGCTATATTGTGTTGCACTGATGTATGAGGATGGAAATTGGGGTGTGCATTAGCCAGAGCCTGGATCTGTAGTAAAGCATCTCTGTCCTGCAGACTCTGAATGGGATCGTTCATCCAGATGTCATCCAACAATAATGTCAACCACTAGATTCACCAGAACTGTGATCATGTTGACAAGGCAAAAAATAAAACAGCACCCATAGTTCCCTCGCCTGAGCTCAGCCCTACCATTCCATTAAAAAGTTGTTTTCAGGATCGGTTTGTGTGCACCTATTTTAACAGGGGTTGCTGAAAGTTGCTGTAGATAATGCTCGAGTGCAGGAGAAACAGATCCAGCAGGAAAAGAAAGAGTTGAAGATGGAGCTGTGCAGGGAGAGAGAACTGAGAGAGAGTCTGGAAAGGCAACTCACTGCTGAGCTGCAAAACAGAGGTAAGCCAAAATAAAAACTGATTTCTGGCATGCTGCTCCCTATGGTTAGAAGCCTTCCTTTTTCCTACCCACCAAGCCTTCATCTAAACCTAATTCATTTGGATCACCATGGCCTCACCTCTTCTATATGTGCTCTTAATGTATCACAGAAGGAAACAGGGAGAGGCTGCCAGAGAGAAACTTGAGAACACCAGGAGAAGAGAGCTGTTGCCTTCATATCTTGTTTGTGGACTTTCCAGGGACATCTGGTTGGTCACTGTGAGAAACAGGATGCGGGACTAGATAGGCCTTTGGACTGATCCAGCTGGGCTCCTCTTATATTTTTATGACATTGATGACATCTTTGTGTCAAAACATAGGAAACCTGTGATCAGATCTCCTGATGTTCTTTCCACCACTGCTTTGGAGCAACTTTGATGGGCTCTGGTTTTGAGTAGACTGTAGGGTTTCTCAAACTTGGGTCGCCAGCTGTTGTTAGACTACAACTCTCATCATCCCTAGCTTGCAGGACCAGTGGCCAGGGATGATAGGAACTGTAGTCCAAAAACATCTGGAGATCCAAGTTTGGGAAACTCTGGACTAGAGCAAGCAGTATTGGGGGAGGGGTGTTCTATTTCATACAGTAAATAGCTTCCATCACTACTAAATGTCATTATTCTGTTCAGATGCAATTTTGTAGTGCTCACCTTCTATAATGGGAGCAAATATAACCATAAACCAATGCTGCACTGTAACTGGATTGTAGCAACTTGCTCTGATCATGGTCACCTGTCTGTTCAATGCACAAATTGATCTTTATTCATTTACTTACTTACTCCTAGTGGAAGCACTTTCACTGCTAACCAACACTGCCTAGGCTAATGGGGCAGTGTTGGTCAGCAGTAAAAGTATTTGCACATTACATCTCCTTAAGAAATCATTGGGCTTGGGTGACAGTCTTTACGGAGGTCATATAGCCTACATATGCCCCAGATTCATGTTCACATTTATTCACCAGCAGTATTTGTTCATATTTAATCCCTCACATTCAGCTTACCTATAAAGAGCATGGAATTGGTAAATAGCAAACTGGTGTTTATTATCTATAACAACTGGGATTTTATGTCTGTTTATATATACAAATTCATGCAAATAATCATTCAACAGCTTAATACTGGCCCATTATTGATAGCCATTGATATGTAGGCTAAAAATTAATTTGGAATATAAAATTAAAATCTGAAGAAGATAATACCACAGACTTACATTTCAAATGTGATGTACAGCTCACATTTCACTGGCTAAATATTTGAGGTTCATAGCAAATTGAGAGATTGTGATGAAATTTAGGTCACAAAAAATAATTCAGCATCATGGCAGTGGGGTGGGGTGGGGAATCAAAACTGTGGATTGGATCCAGACTTAGCGCTATGTAGAGTGGGCTATCATACTTTGAGAACATAATAGTTTATTCTCTTAAGTATGACAGTGTAGATCCAACCTATTGTTTTGTTTCCCCCCACAAAGAAAGTCCCATGGATTTCAGTGGGTCTACTCTAATTATCTAGAGTAGATCAAACCCTCTGAGTTTTGCAAAAGCAGAACAAAAACCTCGAAGGTGTGCTTTCCTTTTCCAAATGGAAAGAAATTTGACATTCCAGATTCTGTCTTTGTTTTAATTGTATTATTATGATTAAAAGTAGTATTACTATTACTATTGTTGTTTATTGTTGTTGCTAAACACTCTGCTTATGATTCATGGAAAGGCAGGATGTAATTTTTTTAAATAGATAGATAGATAGATGATAGATAGATAGATAGATGGATGATAGATAGATGATAGATTAGATAGATAGATATATAGATGATAGATATAGAGATAGATAAATTTTCATTTTTATGCCCAAACGTGTAGCAAGCAGAATCACCATTATCTAATTTTCAAGAATGTTTATATGGAGAAAGAGGGTGTAATAGTCTTGTAAACCAAAAGCAGAACTGGAATGTCAGCAGAGAAATATATTTGTTTTATATTCCCAGGGAAGGTCCCATTAATGCTTTCATAATTGTGTTTTCATCTTTCAGCAATAATTCAAAAGCGCTTGAAGAAAGAGAAGAAAGCCAAGAGAAAATTGCAAGAAGCTCTTGAGTTTGAATCAAAGAGGAGAGAGCAAGCGGAACAGGCACTTAAACAGGCAACATCAGGCGATAGTCTCAGGATGCTAAATGGTAACGTGATAGTCGGGCATCGCTGGTGAATTCATTTATTTGTTTGTTCATTTAAATCATATTATACTGCTTTTCAGGAGTACAACCTTTCAAAGCAGTTTATAAAGTGTGAAAAGATACAGTCTCAATGAAGATTAATGCAGCACTACATAAGAAGATCACAACAGGAGAACATTTTAAAAGCCAGATGACTTCATCAGTCAGATTTTCAGAGCAATCCTAAGTATCTGAAGCCAGCAAAATTTATACCTGCTTAAATTAAGCAGGCATAAGTTAATTGCATTCCAAACCCCATACAGGAGTGTGGCCACTGCTGGCTGAGTCGGCCCAAGCCTGGCAGAAGGAAAGCAGCCCTTTTTAAAAAGAGCTTAACGTAAAACCACACTTTTTGTCACAGTTGCCAGGTCATATGAATGAGCTGAAAGAGGTTTGGAATAAGTGTTGTCTCCTTGCACCATCACATTCCCAATCACATAGCTTTTTCAGGACTTAGGCCTTCTTAAGTTCCAACAGCTGAGCCAGCAAAGACAGGTATAGGGATTTATTCTGGCATGCCATCAGTTCATCTTGGGTTTGAATTGTGCTGCACAACTGCAATCCTAAATCCATTTTCCTGGGCTTCTGCTGAAGAAGAAGAGTTTGGATTTGATATCCCGCTTTATCACTACCCTAAGGAGTCTCAAAGCGGCTAACAGTCTCCTTTTCCCCTCCTCCCCCACAACAAACACTCTGTGAGGTGAGTGAGGCTGAGAGACTTCAGAGAAGTGTGACTAGCCCAAGGTCACCCAGCAGCTGCATGTGGAGGAGCAGGGACGCAAACCCGGTTCACCAGATTGCGAGTCCACCGCTCTTAACCACTACACCACACTGGCTCTCAATGTGGATGTGGATCCTGTTACCTGGTCAGTCAGGTTTGCGTGGAAAGAAGTGGTCCTACTGTATCAAGGGAACAACTGAGAATGAGGTGCAGCGATGTTAGGCTGCTGCAGTAAACTGCTCTGGAAATGTACTTCTCCCAAATAAGTTAAAATCTAGAATCCTTTTTAATCCCAGTTCAGGAAGTATGCTTACAGAGTTGTCCCTGTCCAAACTTTTCACCGGTCTGTAGCATATCTCCAAAGACCAGTCATGGGCCAGTCATGAATTCCTACCTCACAGGGTGGTTGGGAGGATAGACACAGAGAGGGAAGCTTGAGCCCATGGGGAGAAGGTGGAGTATAAACATAATGAAATATTATTTTGATCTGTGCTTAACTTTCTTCAGATATTGCAGTTATGTAAATTGTTGTTGTTGTTGTTGTTATTTATTAAATGTGTATATTTGCCCTATACCTGTAGATCTGAGGGCAGTTCACAACATAAAACTACAAATTGTGCTTTGCAGATGCTGGGATTCCAGACATGGAGGCGGAACGCAATGGAACCCAACATGACAGTGCGCCAATGCAAGGTATGGTATGTTTCGGCTCTTCTTCTATCCTTTTTTCGTTTCTAACCCAGCAAGCTAGCAATTAATGGGAACAAAGCCTACACAGCCCTAAAGATGCTTCTGAAATTCTAATCATACAGATTTCTCCACAGATTTCTCCACCTGTGGCCCTCCAGATATCGTTTGTCTCAAGCAGCAAAATCTCTCAGGCCGGTCTTGCCCTTGGAAACCACCACTGTTTCCTCAGCATGCAAGTCTTAACTCTTCACTCTTGTGTGGGCGTCCAGCAGGCAGTTGCATTGTAAAGCCGAAGAAAAGATTCACATTTGAATGTTCTTCTGTTTCAGTTGCCATAACTCACTTGCGGGGCCAAATGCAGGGATGGTGCATCAACCAATTTTTATCAACCAATCTCCGTTTCCCATAAAATAAACATACTGGGTGTCATTAAGTGCACCTTCAGATCAATGATTTTTGCAAATGACATTCAAGTACCGTTCGAGTGGTACATTTTTTGCTGATAAAAGCAAATTAAATTAGCACAACTACAAGCGGTGCTGATAAAAACTGAAGCTCGAACAGCAGCACCATTAGCTAACAAAGTAATATTTTCTCTTTACTGCTTTCTGCCATTTAGTTATTATCCTATTGGAAATCTAATTATAATCCTTTTACTCCCCAGTCAAACTTCACAGTTTTTGCAAGCTTAGCACTGACATGTGATTTCATTACGTTTGATTGCTCGCACCCAGATTGACTTAACTTCACTCGGAGACCTAAAAGCCCTCTCAGTTTCTCAGATTCCCTGTTTGCACATTACAGCAACAGCTCCTTTAATTAATTAGCATGAACAGCAGTAACATGAACTGCTGAACAGAAAATAACATCATTTTATGATCGCAGGGAGACTTCTCCTTTTGCATGTTTATACCTTAGTTAACTTTTGTATATTATTATATTTCATTTAGTAAGAGCCTGTAGGTGCAAAAAATAGGAAAATAATAACCAATGCTAGTGTTTCATCTTTCTCTTCTTCTATAAAAATAAGAGTTAATACTCCTTAATATTACAGATGTACCAACACAGAAAACATGAAAATCTTCACGTTTAAAAAACAAAACAACAGCAAACTTGTAGGGTGATTAAATTGAACACATTTAGAGGCCAGTGATTTCATTTGGAAAGCCTTGACAAAATCAGTGAGACCTTAAAAGAAGGCCCGAGTAGAATCTTCTGAAATACAATATTTTGAAATTGAAAGTTAGAATGGTGGGAGGTATCCCTTCTTTGCCACCACTTTGTAGTTCTGGCAGCAGCAGTAACCACATTCCCTGCCACTGTTAAGCATCCATGTTTTGCTTTAGTTGCAGCAGAAAATATGAGCCTCACTCTAGTTTGGCTTCATGATATCATCACAAAACCATTTTATTGTCCTCACTCTGAATTGGCTTTGTTGGCTCATCATGAAACCAAATCAGAGTGAGGGCATTGCTTTCTTGCTCTTGCTCTCATGTTGCATTATGCAGCTAAAATAAATAACGGGTGCCTCTCATCAACACGGGGTACCACCAGTGTTGCCAGTGGCAGAAACAGAACTGGCAAACTATTTGTCTCTGTTCCCACCCCATCCTGAAGAATCACTGGAAGGGGGAATGTTTTGTACATCTTGAAAAGGGTGAAGATGAGACTGAAGCTTGAGAGCTCCAGTTTTGACTGTATGTCATCTGGAATAGAGTTAGAGCACCAATCAGCTAGTATGCTTTGCTAAACCCCCTTCTCACTAAATTACTGTATGACCTAAGTAAAGGGGAACAATTCAAATATGTGGGACCCCCTCCTTCAGAAATGGTACAGTCTAGCATTATAGTTTGCTTATTGGACAGTTTTTATTGGTCCTCGCTGAGGCCTATCAAGGACAAGAGCAGAGCTGCTCTCCCTAGCATTTATTTATTTGCTTGCTTGCTTGCCATTTAATCGCCAAAACTCTACATGTAGGGAGAGATTTGAACACACAGCAGTGTATTCAAACACGCAGTCCTGCCACTTACACTCTGAAGTTTTCAGGTCCCTAGAGAGCATATGAACTGGCCTATAGAAGCTGTAAAAATCTGTTGTGTGCATGTGCCCACAATGCCAGCAATTTGATTGAGCAACATCAAATGAACCAGTTACTGTGCTCTCATGAGCATGCACTGAGAATTAAGGGAAGTGCTGCAGCACAGTGGTAAGATCACCTACTTTGCCCACAGGTTCAGTCCCTGGCACCTGCAGGTAAGGCTGAGGAACAAACCCTGCCTGAAGCCCTAGACAGCTGCTGCCAGTCAATGTGGATGGTAGTGAGCTAATAGATCAGTGCTCTGACTCAGTATATAGATTGCTATGAAGAGTCCCACCTCCAAAATTACTGAGTTTCCCCCCCTTTTCTTCCATGATACCAAATATAGAACAGAGGGAGACATCTATACTATGAAATAACAACCCTGTTAGGAAAGAAAATATCATCCAAAGGGGAAATTACCATCATTAACATAGGATTTGGCTCACAGGCAAAATTGTGAGATCTTTATTCATGTTACACAATGTACTGGGTCTGAAAACCCTTTCTAAATGTCTTGCTTATTAAGGCAGTCATGCATTTCACGGTAGGTTGTAAAACAGCCTATCATGCACTGGGGGCTCATAAGCATATTTTAGTGTTAGGGAATATCATTTATACCCTTTTTATATTGTCAATATTATCCCTAGAGAATTAAATTATGCTTTAAACTACTGTAAATCCACAGTTTGGCTCACCTTTGTCTAATTTCATTTTTTAATAGAATGAAGCCCACATAAATGAATATTTGATTATGGGATAAACCTAATAAAATAATACGTTTATGGCCCAAAGATTTATTTAAAATCTTCACTATGTAATACAGTAAAAAATGCTATAAAATGGAAACATCAATAGGTCCTGAACATTCCATACAGGATGAATTTTTGACCTTACCTTCTTTTCTTATTCAACCAGTTTGCACAAAGCTTGAACAATGAAAAAGATTTTGGTGGATTTGGGAAAGGGGAAAAAGTGGGAAATAAGGTAGTAGGCATAATATCTTAGGACTGGTTCCCACATGCACCCTATTGAATGAGTGCAGCGTCAAGGTACTTCTTGAATGTGTGAGTCTCAGATTGAACATCCATCTGTATCTCAAAGTCAACACCTATGCAACTCTTAAATGCAGTAACTCCCATGGTGGTTTAACAACAACAAAAAACTCATATCAATAAAAATACAAGCCCCAATAAAACTCACCACGATTAAATAAGTAGGACAAAAAGAGCAATAAAATCAAATGGAGTAAAACTCCTCAAGTTATAAAAGCCCAGGGAAAGTAAAGAAAAATATTTGCCTGATGAAAAGGCATACAATCATAGTAACACAGAATTGTAGAGTTGGAAGGGATCCCAAAGGTCATCTAGTCCAACCCCCTTGCAATGCAGGAATCACAGCTGAAGCATCCCTGATGGATGGCCATCCAACCCTGCTTAAAAACCTCCCATGAAGGAGAGTCCACCACCCAAGGGAGTCCGTTCCACGATTGAACAACTCTTACCATCAGAATGTTCTTACTGACATTTAGTCAGAATCTCTTGTAACTTGAATCCATTGGTTCAGATCCTACCTTTCAGAGCAGAATAAAACAAGCTTACTCCATGTGACAGCCCTTTAGATCTTTGAAGATGGCTGTCATATGTTCTCTCAGTCTCCTCTTATCCAGGCTAAACAAACCCAACTCCCTCAATCATTCTTTCCCTACACAGTGACATTGATTATCATCAACATCTTTTACATTTGCATTGTCACCTAATAATGTACAGTGGTACCTCGAGTTACAGACGCTTCAGGTTACTGACTCTGCTAACCCAGAAATAGTACCTCAGGTTAAGAACTTTGCTTCAGGATGAGAACAGAAATCATGCAGTGGTGGCATGGCGGCAGCGGGAGGCCCCATTAGCTAAAGTGGTACCTCAGGTTAAGAACAGTTTCAGGTTAAGAATGGACCTCCGGAAAGAATTAAGTTCTTAACCCGAGGTACCACTGTTTGTTCTATGGGCTGCTCACAGATATGCGTCATCCGTGTTCTGCAAGCAAGGCAATGGTAAATAGTGGTAATAGTGACACAAAGCCTGTATACTTAATATCAGCTAATGTGAAATTGTTACTACATAACACTGACTGGCTGCATCTAGACATCACAATAAACAATGGTTTGTCATAATGGAATGATCTTAGCTGGTGTGGCTACAAGGAGGCATTTGGAAGCTTTTGTTTCTGTTTTCCGTTAATTATGGCTTGCTGTATTATCCAAACCTGACAAATGATCTTAACTATGATTTGCTTCAAACTGTGGTTTCAACAAACCATAGATTAATCACAATTTGGGCTTGCAATGTACTGCTGAACTGTGGTTAAATGAAACCAGAAGCAAAAGTTTCCAAACTTCCTAACAAACTGGGTCAGGGGGCTGCTACTTTGGTGATCTGATCAGAGTTCAAAGTTGCACATTGGCAAACCAGAGAATTAGGGAATGGTGCATATCCAGTGATAAATACCACAGACTCAAGATTATAACTGAAACAAATCCATCAGTTTATTGACATGCAGTGCTCCGTTCAAAGCATATTATTACCTTCATATGGAAGATAATGATACTCTGAACTTGAAACGGAACTTGGCAACATAAAGCAATGAAAGATAGCAATATGGTACTTAGAAAATAATACGGGTTGAGAATGGCATAATAGCATTATAATTACATTGACAAAGCAATCAGAGTCATTTGAATGAGCATCTTAAGCTAGCTATTTCCGACTCTTAACTGAAGATTTCGCCTCCTATCATCCTTCAACCCACCTAGTTATCAGACAAAATAGAGTGGGACTATTACTTCCCTTGATCTGGCCACTATACTTCTGTTGATGCAGCATAGAATAGCATTAACTGGGTTTTTTTTGCATCACTTTGAGACATGTGTATGGAAAGCAATTTATAATATATTGTTAATAATAACATCAGTAATAATGATGTGCAGAGAATCATTTCTTTCTTTCATTGTTGCTAGCTATTCAGCTCTTCATTAAGTGCTTCCTCTCAGCTCTGCCTGGGCAACAATGAACTTTATTCCCAAATGCTAGGCATGCTGAGAAACACAGAAATGAGGATAAGGTATGGAAGATAGAAATTCTGCCTTGGAATGTGAACACCAAAATTTAATAAGGATCTTGACAAGCTGAAGTGTCTGTAGAGGAGGGCAGCCAAGATGTTCAAGGTTCTGGAAACCAAACATGAGGAACAGTTTGGGGAATTGCATATGTTTAGCCTGGTTAAGAGGAGACTAAGAGGAGATATGATAGCCATTTCCAAATATCTAATGGGTTGCCATGTGGAGGAGGATGGAGCAAGTTTGTTTTCTCCTGCTCCAGAGGATTCGAGTTACAAGAAAGTAGATTCCAACTAAACATCAGGAAGAGCTGTTCAACAGACTCCCACAAGAGGTGGTGGGCTTTCCTTCCTTGGAGGTTTTTAAGCAGAGGTTGGATGGCCATCTGTCACGGATGCTTTAATTGAGATTCCTGCATTGCAGGGGGTTGGACTAGATTCCTCTCTGGGGTCCTTCCAACACTACAATCCTATGATTCTATGCAATTAAAACAGCTTTAAAAACAATTGTTTTAAAAATTAATATCAAGTAGACCCCCATGGCAGAGACCCAGTCATCTGGCTGAGAAACCTTGTTGGAACAAAACTGTCTTCAATTGTTTCTGGAAAATGCAGATAGTGGTTGCCTGTCATATCTCAACAGGAATGCTGTTCCACATAACAGGGGCAGCCACAGTGAAAGCCCTGCTCTGAGTTACTGTGGATCCGGCTTCTGGTGCACTTGGGACTTGAAGGAGAAGTTCTCCCACAGACTGCAGTGACCTACTGGGTATATAAGGGATAAAGTAGTTTCTCATGCAGCATTGATCAGGAAATGGAACATAATTTCCCATCTTTTCCATCATTACTTGACTTGCGTAGGCAAGCTACGTGAGTTGTAGACCTTGAATGTCCATAATCTAACTAGGGGAAAGTGTATCTGGGCTCCATTCTTGTCCAGCATTGCTTAATTAAGATCATGGTCTATCCAACTCATCCCAGCACATTCTATTTTCAATAATGTTTGGAAGCACTGTTAGATTTTTCTTTTCTTTTTTGTGCTCTTTAGCATCTTATTGTGCTAACATTGTGCTTTTCCAAGATGCCAAGGTCTCACATGACTGTCACTGAGAGAGCTGGCTAACAGTTCCAAGCAGCCTTCGCAGAGTGGACCAGAGTTGAACTTTCCCATCCTTGTCATCCATTTTGATCCATCATGGCTACTCTGCTGTTGGGTGAAGCTTGCTGAAATGGCTTGTGTCCTCATGCCTAGCAGGGCCCAGATTAACAGAGAATAGGCTCATTCCCAGAGCAATAAACCATGGTCTGTCATGATATCTGAACATATCCATTATCTGCCTACCATCATCTGTTCATTATTTTTCTGTAAAATCTGCTTTCTGTATACTTTATACAGGCCATACCCTTGACCTACCATTGTCCACCATAAGTGACCTTGCCCCATGGCTGCTAGACTCCATTCTGGGCCCTGTAACTCATGGAAAGGAGCACTCTTCACTTATGTGAAATGTTGAAAGTTGTTTACTCTTTGCCCAAGCCCCTGTGGATCTCATGGCAATAATGTTGCGCCACTATAAAGACCTCCACAGTCCAGTTCTCCTGGCATCCTTTTTGTGGTTCCCAGGCTCCTGGACATTCCTCTGGCAATCATTTGTCCCTGGTATTTATTCATGTTTATGTCCAAGCTCCATATTAGATCATCACTGTTTGGAAAGCACAAGCCCTCTTAAAAACATGAAACATTCAATTACTAATTAGCTGTTTCCTGTTTGTAATAGAGTGAACATGCTGGATGTGGATTAAAATTCAGCTCCTGCACTCGGCTGTTTATAGTTCCAGATGTTTTTGTTTTATCTAGGAGTTTACTTTGACAGCTCCTGTTAAATGATAAATCACTCATATTATAGCTGAAATGCATTTCAAAATTGAAATGTAGCAAAACTTGGTGATTGCTCCAAGGATCTGTGTCGGTTAGCCGGTCAATACAGGTTCTTTCCTTATGAAGATTTGGTATTGGCATATGTAAAACAGTAATGGGAGATATGTCAACATTATACACATGCCGGTTGGGTTGATCATTTTCCTACAGCCTCCAAAAGCAGTAGTTGCTGGTGCAGCTGTTTGGACTTTAAATGTATTCTAAGACTAATAGGAATATAGATTTGCATTCCTTTTGGCTCTCCGTAGACTCCCCCCCTACCCCCACCACCACTGCCTGAACTTAAAACAGCATATTTCTTATCATTAAGAAAAGAGCTTGGTATCTGTTTGCTTTTCCAGATAAAGAGGAATGCAGAAAACAAAGGTGATAGAAGTGGCTTCTCCTCCCAATCCCAGGAGAAGATATTGATTTACTAACCATGCTGATTTGTAATGCAGTCTTTTATGTTTTAAAATATGCCCTCTTGCAGATGGATTGGGCATGTGATGAGCTGAATTCACTTTGTAGACTAATGGAAGTATTCACTTGATTCACTCAACACCTTTTTAGGTCTCTCAATTTCGTATTCCAGGTTTTATTCAAGAATATATGCAAAAACAAAATAAATTAAGCTGTTTCCGTCTAGGACCTCACATTGGTACTGGCAAGGCCTGGCTAAAGGGCAGGCCAGCTGCAGGAGACCAGGACCACGGTCAGCTCTTGCGTGGATTGGGTGTCATGGACTGGCTGTAAAGGCATTAAAAGCAGCAAGTTAGGATGTTGCTGCAGCAATACTCCAAAGTCAACTGGATTTTTTATAGTCCTGCACCAAAGAGGTTGCTCCACCCGCTCTGAGGAAGCTTGCGACTGAAAGAGCTTGTACTCTGTTTCTCAGGCATTGGCTTTGGTGGGGTAGGGTGGGAGGTCCTGTCTTGTGGAGTCAGGCTTCAGGGAATCAACCCCACCCCCGTGGCAGTAGATAAGCAGAACAAAGGAAAAGGGAGTCTTTTTACCAGTTAGAAACTTTAATGATCACAGCAAGAGAATAAAGAACCCATCTCCTAGGAATGGTGCTGCTCCCAATTAAGAATCTCACCCCCCTACATCCCTATTCATCCACGTCACTTCTACGTCTTGAAATCTGAGCTTGTACCCTCTGTGCTTTGTGTGCTTTCTGTTCTGCCACTTTCTCAGCTCTTCTTGACCTTGGGGAGAGCGGAGGAATGCTTTCCAGAGACAGTGAATCTGTTAACCCTCTCTCTCCCAGTGTTTCTTCTCCTACCTGTTCCCCATCCAGTATTTCCCAGCTTCTGCCTTCTGAACTATGCCCCTCTGCAAACCACTGTTCCAAATCTATACCGTCCTCC